TGCTTGGTAACTAAGCAGGAACTTTATTCACTCCCTCAGAGCTGGGAGGGGAATCAAAATATCCTGTTTTGTAGAGATTGCAGCTTTGTAACCTTCTGATTGGAGAAAGCAATTGTCTTACAATTTCACAACATGGTCTCACTGACTGTTTTCTGAAGTTGTTCATTAAACTAAGCAAACTTGTTTTAAAATACACACATAAATGTTTAAAATACACACATAAATGTAAGGGAGAAATGGAGTTTTTAAAGTAACTGCTGACAACTGCCTGTGATGAGAAAATTCCAGTGTGTGTGGGGGGAGAGATTCTCCAGCAGAGCTCTGAGCACAGCTGCTCTTCCTTCCCTCTCCCCCCCGCTCAAACAGCTCTGTCAACATTCTTTTGCTGCTTCTGCATTTGACAGGTTGGTTTTCTGAGACTGCTGAGGAAGCTTTAAGGTGGACTCTACTTGGTGGGATACCTAGCTCGAAAATATCTTATTTGACAGGGGCAGTTTTTGCCAGAGGGAAAAAAAGGGAAAAAATAAATAAACTGTTTCTAGCTGGAAGTTTCCACCTTTGTGGCAGGAGAGAGAAAATCTAAAGATATAACACAGGAAAGTGCCTGACAACAGGCAGTGTTTCAAGTTTCAGCTGCGTCTGTCCTGTCCCTGTGCTAAGCAGCAGAGGGGTGTCCCTGTTCTCAGGTGAGAAGCTCAAAGCAGAGCTGTTGCTGCTTTGCCAGGTGCATCCTGGGTCCCCTGGTTCACTCCTATGAGCAAACCCTGGTTTAAAACAACCTGAGCGAGTTTTACTGTGGCTTTATGCAAATTGCTAAAGTTGAGAGCGACTTTAGGAGTGTTAACTTCTTAAATACATGGATGTAAGTTAAACTGTTACGCCTATTTTGTTTAAATAAGATGTTTAAAGTTTTCACGCGTATCCCAGAAAAATATATAAACATCAGCGAAAATTCAGAATTAGCTGCTCATAAATCCTGGCTGATCATATCGTTTCAGAGGCTGGGTGATTCTGCTTAAGTTCCAAAAGGACGTGACTGTTCTCCAGTTTCATTTTTACATTCAGAGAGGCAGGAATCTGCCCTATGAATTTGTGAATCCTGTTCAAATCCCAAGCCCTGCGTGGCTTGGTAAAAGAAAAGTAAAAGATGCAAAACTGTATTTAATCCAATTATGCAACTAAGACCCTCATCAAAATCAGTGATCCCATCCTCTGAGAGATTTCCATATGCTGGGATTTTGAAGAGCCAATTGTTTCTTCATAATGAAAGCTGCTATTTGCTTTTATTGAAGTTACAGTGACCTTCCTGAAATTCAGAGTTTTCCTTTACAACAGGAGAGGATGTTTCTGCAGTACAGCGTGATAAAATGCTGCTCAAAATGACAAAAGCAAAGGAAAAGGAAATACAGAAGTTAGAGACCTAAAAAGATGAGCAAAAACTAAATGTGATTGCTCTAACCAATGTTCTTTGAGAAGCAGGACTGAAGAATGCTCCAGGAGAAAATTCATCAAACCAAGCCATGGAACCTGTCTCCTACAGAGAGAATTACACTGCCAAGAATCATCACTAGGCCTTCAGCCTCAAAGACAAACTGCAAAATTACCCACGACACCCACTCAAAACTGACTGAACTATTAATAACAAATGTGTGAGTTTTCTATTAAAGGTGAAGAACAACTAAAGGAAGCAGATGAACAAGAGCTGAGAGTTAATTACACCCCAGACATCGGAGACGACTTGGACTGACTTCTCACAGGAGACCCTGAATTTCAGGCTGCATTGGCAGCCTGTGACAGTGATTTATCTTTTCATTTGTCTGGGTACCGACTATAGACAGAAATCACGTGTTGCTGCCAGTCACACATTACTCACGGAACTCAGACATTGCTTTAATTCTCCACAATTTAGGGAGCTTTGAAAAGCTGTAAGGACAAGTAATGTTGCAATTTGCTGGTTTTCCAGAGCTAAAACAATTATGCAGAGATTCCCAACTCACTTCTAGGACAAATTGTTGTCAAGAAAACATTTCACACATCAAATGAACATTTTAAAACATGAAAAGGGGGGAAGGAGACCATGCAGGTGCATAAACAGACGCTAAATCGTTGTAGATCTCATTTAAATTTGTTAATTTTATATTCCTTGTATGTATTCCTTCTCAGGCCAGGCACAGGTGTTGGACGTGACTGCCAAAGGTGACAAACTGAGAAGTGCACGGCCAATAACGACTTCAAATGCAAAGGGTGTGATTAAAATGTAGAAGTATAATAGAAATTCAGCTATGTGTGAGTGAAGAGTGCCTGAGGTGGCCACCAAGGAATGACTGAAGAGGGGTTGTGTGAGAGAGAAGCTGTGTAGACATAGATGTGTGTGTAGACTTAAAAATACTTCACAGGAGTGTCGGGATTCTGAGGGAATGTGTTGCAGGAATCTGTCGGACCACAGTGAGTCCATGCACAGAAGCACTCAGCTTTTGAAAGAAGGTGTCTGCAAATTACAAATTGAGGATGGGTGGGATTGGTCGAGTGAGTTGTTTGGTAAAGGGGGTTTGTCTGGTTGGCTGTTGTCCATCGTAAAGACAGGATTGCTGATTTTGGTAATTATTGTGGCCGTGCTGTTAACGATGCCCTGTTTGATCAGCCTGTTGAAAGGGCCCTGCAGCAGCCTGTGAAGGCCATCTCTGTAGCACAAATTCAAAGAGGGGGAGTTGTCAGGGGTGACAGAGGGTCCGTCGGCACCTTGGCACACTCTGACGAAGCAAGAGATGGTGCCCAGATCAAAGTATCCCCCTGAGATGGGCTGAAAGAGAGGACTGAAAATGCAGGCCCTGATCCCGACAACAAACTGATGCACCCTGAGGAAGCTGTCCCGTGGGAACAGAGAACACTGTCTCACGGGAACAGGGGCACTGTCTCACGAGAACAAGGAGAGTGGTTGGGAAGAACATCAACATGAGAGAAAAATAAGAGCAGGTGCTCGGGGCCGTTGTGGGAAAGAACTGGGCTGTTTTGAGAAAGAGCAAAGTTGTGGTGAGAAAGTAGAGTTTAGAAAATGCACCTATTGGCTGTAAGAATTCTGGAGTGAAAGTCTGAACTGTCCCATCCGTGTGCGTTACGTGTGTTCAAGAACTGTGCTTCAGGGGCTGTGCAGCAGCCCCGCTGTCCCTGCTTTTTCCTTGGAATAAACTTTGCTGGAACCTTTTTTCATGTCGCTTTGGCCGTTCCGACATTATCAGCGACACCCTGGGTGTCCCCACGTCCCCTGGGTGTCCCCCCCGTGTCCCCAGTGTCCCCACATCCCCTGGGTGTCCCCCCCGTGTCCCCAGTGTCCCCACGTCCCCTGGGTGTCCCCCCCATGTCCCCAGTGTCCCCCAATCCCTGTCCTTGGTGTCCTGGAGCCACCTCAGGCCCCGGTGCTGACCCCCATGTCCCCCCTCCCCGTGTCCCCCCCATGTCCCCCCGATGTCCCCACATCTCCTGGGTGTCCCCACGATGTCCCCACGATGTCCCCACATCCCCAGGGTGTCCCCTGGGTGTCCCCACATCCCCAGGGTGTCCCCAGTGTCCCCCAATTCCTGTCCATGGTCTCCTGGATCCATCTGAGGTCCCTGCAGACCCTGGTGTAGACCCCCCTGTCCCCCCTCCCCATGTTCCCCCCGTGTCCCCACGATGTCCCCACATCCCCTGGGTGTCCCCAGGATGTCCCCATGTCCCCAGGGTGTCCCCAGGATGTCCCCACATCCCCAGGATGTCCCCCTGATGTCCCCACATCCCCAGGGTGTCCCCAGTGTCCCCCAATTCCTGTCCATGGTGTCCTGGAGCCAGGTGAGGTCCCTGCAGACCCTGGTGCTGACCCCCCATGTCCCCCCTCCCCGTGTCCCCCCTGTGTCCCCAGGATGTCCCCACATCCCCAGGGTGTCCCCAGGATGTCCCCAGGATGTCCCCACATCCCCAGGGTGTCCCCACGATGTCCCCAGGATGTCCCCATGTCCCCAGGGTGTCCCCACGATGTCCCCTGGGTGTCCCCAGTGTCCCCCAATTCCTGTCCATGGTCTCCTGGATCCACCTGAGGTCCCTGCAGACCCTGGTGCTGACCCCCATGTCCCCCCTCCCCGTGTCCCCCCCATATCTCCCCGATGTCCCCACATCCCCTGGGTGTCCCCATGATGTCCCCAGGGTGTCCCCACATCCCCAGGGTGTCCCCACGATGTCCCCCCCATGTCCCCACGTCCCCAGGGTGTCCCCACGATGTCCCCAGGATGTCCCCACGTCCCCTGGGTGTCCCCACGATGTCCCCTGGGTGTCCCCACGTCCGCAGGGTGTCCCCAGGGTCCCTCAGTAGCTGTCCATGGTGTTCAGGATCCACCGGAGGTACCGGCAGACCCTGGTGCTGACCCCCATGTCCCCCCTCCCCGTGTCCCCCCCATGTCCCCAGGATGTCCCCACGTCCCCAGGGTGTCCCCACGATGTCCCCAGGATGTCCCCACATCCCCAGGGTGTCCCCACATCCCCTAATTCCTGTCCATGGTCTCCTGGAGCCACTTGAGGTCTCTGCAGACCCTGGTGCTGACCCCCCTGTCCCCCCTCCCCGTGTTCCCCCCGTGTCCCCACAGTGTCCCCACATCCCCAGGGTGTCCCCAGGGTGTCCCCACGATGTCCCCACGTCCCCAGGGTGTCCCCAGTGTCCCCCAGTCCCTGTCCATGGTCTCCTGGATCCACCTGAGGTCCCTGCAGACCCTGGTGCTGACCCCCATGTCCCCCCTCCCCGTGTCCCCCCCATGTCCCCACGATGTCCCCACGTCCCCAGGGTGTCCCCACGATGTCCCCCCCATGTCCCCACGTCCCCAGGGTGTCCCCACGATGTCCCCCCGTGTCCCCACGTCCCCAGGGTGTCCCCACGTGTCCCCAGGAGGTCCCCCACATGCCCCAGGGTGTCCCAACGATGTCCCCAAATGTCCCCCCCCCACGTCCCCAGGGTGTCCCCACGATGTCCCCCCCACGTCCCCAGGGTGTCCCCACGATGTCCCCCCGTGTCCCCTCGTCCGCAGGGTGTCCCCAGGGTCCCTCAGTAGCTCTCCATGGTGTTCAGGATCCACCGGAGGTACCGGCAGACCCTGGTGTAGACCCCCGGGTGCCCGGGCAGGGCGCAGGTCTGGAGCCCCCAGGACACGATGCCCTGGAGGGTCCCGTTGCACGAGAGGGGACCCCCCGAGTCACCCTAAAGGGGGGAGGGGACAGAGGGGTCACCCCGAGGTCAGGGGGGACCCCCCGAGTCACCCTAAAGGGGGGAGGGGACAGAGGGGTCACCCCGAGGTCAGGGGGACCCCCCGAGTCACCCTAAAGGGGGGAGGGGACAGAGGGGTCACCCCGAGGTCAGGGGGACCCCCCGAGTCACCCTAAAGGGGGGGAGACAGGGGGGACACAGAGGGGACATCCCGAGGTCGGGGGGTCACCCCGAGGTCAGGGGGGTCACCCCGAGGTCAGAGGGGACATCCCGAGGTCAGGGGGGACATCCCGAGGTCAGAGGGGTCACCCCGAGGTCAGAGGGGACATCCCGAGGTCAGGGGGGTCACCCCGAGTCACCCTAACAGTGGGGGGGGGACAGAGGGGACATCCTGAGGTCAGGGGGGTCATCCCGAGGTCAGAGGGGTCACCCCGAGGTCAGAGGGGACATCCCGAGGTCAGGGGGGTCACCCCAAGGTCAGAAGGGTCACCCCAAGTCACCCTAAAGGGGGGGGACAGGGGGGACACTTTGAGGGGGGAGGGGGACACGCCCTGGGGGGGGGAGGGGACACCCTGAGGTCAAAGGGGACACCCCAAAGGGTGGGGGGACACCCCGAAGGGTGGGGGGGCACTTTGGGGGTGGGACACTTTTGGGGGGGGACATTTTTGGGGGGGGACACCCTGAGGTCAAAAGGGGGACCCCGAGGGTGGGGGAGACACTTTGAGGGGGGAGGGGACACCTGGGCGGGGGGGAGGGGACACTTTGAGGGGGAGGGTTGCAATTTGGTCAGGGGGAGGGGCAAGTTTGGGGGCGTGGCCTCTTCTAGGGCACATGTCTTAAGCTTGTGGGTGTGTCCTGAGTTCGTGGGCGTGTCTTGGCTTTCTGGGCGTGGCTCAGGCCTGATTTTGAGGCCAAACCCCCAATTATGGTGCCAAATTCATCGGGTTTCTTTGGGGAGGCTTTGGAGGGCGTGGCCTATTTTTTGTGGGCGTGTCTTGATTTTATGGGCATGTCTCGAGCTTGTGGGCGTGTCTTGACTTCCTGGGCGTGGCTCAGGCCTGATTTTGAGGTCAAACCCCTTAAATTTGATGCCGAATCCGTCCCGTTTGGATTCGGGCAGGGGGAGGGGAGACTTGGGGGGGGGCGGGGCGAATTTTGGGGGGCGTGGCCTATTTTTGGGGGGGTTTGGGGCGTCACCTGGCAGGAGTCGACGCGGCTGTTGGGGACGCCGGCGCAGAACATGTTGGGGGTGACCCTCTGGGGGTAGGCCTGGCGGCAGAGCCGGTCCGGCAGCACCCGCACGTCGGCGCAGATCAGGCGGTCCGGGAGGGTCACTGCGGGCGGGGAGGGGCCAAAGGAGGGGGAAGGGTCAAGGGGGGAGGGGACACCTTCCTCCCCCCCCCGTCTCCCCCCCATTTCCCACCATCTCCTCCCTTTTCCCCTCATTTTTCCCCATTTCCCCCCCATTTCGCCCCATTTTCCCCCATTTTCCCCTTAATTTTCCCCCATTTCCTCCCCTTCCCCCCCATTTCCCCCCATTTTCCCCCATTTTCCCCCATCTCCCCCCATTTCCCGCCTTTCCCCCCCATTTCACTCCCCCAATTTCCCCCCATTCCCTCCCCCCCATGTCACCTCCCCCCTTTTCCCCTCATTTTCCCCCATTTCCCCCCCATTTCCCCCCATTTTCCCCCATTTTCCCCTTAATTTCCCCCCCATTTCCCCATCTCCTCCCTTTTCCCCTCATTTTTCCCCATTTCCCCCCCCATTTCGCCCCATTTTCCCCCATTTTCCCCTTAATTTTCCCCCATTTCCTCCCCTTCCCCCCCATTTCCCCCCATTTTCCCCCATTTTCCCCCATCTCCCCCCATTTCCCGCCTTTCCCCCCCATTTCCCCCATTTTCCCCTTAATTTTTCCCCCCATTTCCCCCCCATTTTCCCCCATTCCGTACCCCCCCTCCCCACTGTTCTGGCCCCCCATTTTCCCTGCCCCTTTCCCACCATTTCCCCCCTTAGTCCCTTGCCCCATTTTCCCCTTAATGTTTTTTCCCCCCATTTTACCCCCTTCCCCCATTTCCCCCCCGGTTTTCCTTCCCCCCATTTTCCCCCCCTTTTTTCTACTTTTTTCTCCCATTTTCCCCCCATTTTTCCCCTCATTTCTTCCTCATTTTCACCCCTATTTTTCCCCCATTTTTCCCCCATTTTCCCCCCATTTTCCCCCCATTTTTCCCGCTCATTTTCCCCCCATTTTTCCCCCATTTTTCTCCCCATTTTTCCTCCTACTTTCCCCCCATTTCCCCCCATTTTCCCCCATTTCCCCCCATTTTCCCCCATTTTTCCCCCATTTTCCCCCCATTTCCCCCCATTTCCCCCGTTCCCCCGTTGCCCCACTTTCCTCCCCTAATTGTTTCCCCCAGTTTTACCCCCTTCCCCCCTTCCCCCCGTTTCTCACCCTGGGGGGAGGTGACCGTGCCCCACCCCGAGAGCAGACAGGGGGTGCCCGGGGGGGCGCAGGAGCGGGGCAGGGGCTCGGTGGCCACGGCGGGGCCGAGCCGGACGGGCCGCTCGAGCCGCAGCAGCGCCAGGTCGTTGTCCAGCGAGGAGGGGTCGAAATCGGGGTGCGGGACGCCCTGGACCACCCGCCGCTCCTGCTCGGACCCCTCCCTGCGCCGCAGGTCGTCCTCGCCCACCCGGACACGGAGACCCCTGGGGGGGGAGGGAGGGGGATGGGGGTCGGGGGGGATTGGGGGGCATTGGGGGGATTTGGGATAAATGGGGGGATTTGGGATATTTGGGGGATTTGGGGACACTGGGGGGATTTGGGATATTTGGGGGATTTGGGATAAATGGGTGGATTTGGGGTATGGGGGGGATTTGGGGATGTTTGGGGGGTTTGGGGACATTTGGGGGATTTGGGATAAATGGGGGGATTTGGGATATTGGGGACATTGGGGGGATT